AATTCGGGGAGGTTGCCGTAAAAGACAGCGATGACATCTCTTAGTGGGGAATGGATACGGTCCTTTCCAAAGTGGCTGGGCAAGCTGGGGTAAGTAAGAAGGGGATTCTCCTTTGTGCCTTGGCATGTCAGGGTGAATGGATGCGGCTTTGTTCTTTGCTTCAAAGTAACCTATAGTTGGATGGGATGAGGCATCGCAACATCAGTGATAGATAGCCGATAAGTTGTCTCTCTGGTACTGATATGTCGAAAGCGGTTTATTTTCGAGGTCAAAGGGTCATTCCGATTGATCTGAGCAATGATACGCCGAGGACGTTGTGCCATGTCTCACCTCGTCACCCACTCAAGCTAACGAGGTTTAGCGCTCAGACAGCCGCTGTAGAGCCCTGGCGGTCGCCCTTAACCCCCTCCAGGGCACCTTTCCTTTCACTGAGAATTGTTTGTTAGCGCACGTTCCAGCGATGGGGGCCCCCTCTAATGTGACCTTCAGGCGCCAAATGACCACCCCAGCCGAGCCCAACCCTGGTCCAGAAAGCAATTTATCACTGACGTCCCAAACCGAGGAGCTTCAACATTTCCATCCCCTCGTTTTAGACGTCACAGATATAACGGTGTCGACCGTTCTCAAACGCCTCCAATAGCGACCCCTTGCGAGGATATGGAACCAAAATAATATCATCCCAGACTGCGGGGATTTCTATTGAATCTTATATCACAATGCCGATTGCTGGTATGCCGACTCTGACCCTTTCGAGAATTTGTATCGCCACCAGATCCTTTGAAACTAACGATCTTGTTCCCAGTACGCATATGCGTCTGCGGCGATGAGAGCACGGGCAAATCCAGCCTGATTGCGTCTCTCGTCAAAGACCAGTTCATGACCAACAAGATCCAGCCAGTACTGCCTCAAATCACCATCCCACCGAGCATCGGCACCCCCGAAAACGTCACAACTACAATCGTCGATACGTCTGCCCGACCTCAAGATCGAACGACTCTGCGCAAGGAGATTAGGAAATGCAATGTTATCCTGCTCGTATATGCCGACCACTACAGTTACGAAAGAGTCGCCCTCTTTTGGATGCCATACTTCCGCTCCCTCGGCGTCAACGTTCCGGTCGTACTATGCGCCAACAAATCGGACTTGGTCGGCCAGGGAAGCACTCCTCAAGTAGTGGAAGAGGAGATGCTCCCGGTTATGGCTGAGTTTAGGGAGATTGATTCCTGCATCAGGACAAGCGCGAGGGAACACCGCAACGTCAACGAGGTCTTTTTTCTGTGTCAAAAGGCAGTTACCCATCCGATTGCCCCTCTATTCGACTACAAAGAAGGCCATTTGAAGCCGGCTTGCGTGTCTGCTTTGAAGAGAATATTTTACCTCTGCGATAAGAACCAAGATGGCTATCTCGACAACCAGGAGATGCGAGACTTTCAGTCCCGCTGCTTTGATAAGCCCCTTACGGATGATGACTTGGAAAATATCAAGCTTTCTATCGGGAAGACTTTACCAGGCTCCAAACTAGAAAAGGGCGTCGATCTCCGAGGCTTCTTGCAGTTGAATAAGATGTATGCCGAAAAGGGCAGGCATGAAACTATATGGATCATTTTACGAAAATATAATTATACAGACAGCTTGAGCTTGGAGGAACAGTTTCTTCATCCAAAACTTGAGGTTCCCGAATTCTGCTCAGCCGAGCTGAGTCCGGCTGGATATCGATTCTTCGTCGATTTGTTCTTATTGTTCGATAAAGACAACGATGGTGGCTTAAACGACCAAGAGCTCGAGGCCCTTTTCTTGCCTACTCCAGGCTTGCCCCCTCCTTGGGCCGATTCAGCATTTCCTTCTTCTACTGTTAGAAATGAGGGTGGATATATCACCCTTCAGGGTTGGCTAGCGCAATGGAGCATGACAACATTCCTAGAGCCTAAGACGACTCTAGAATATCTCGCCTACCTTGGATTTGAGCCTCCGAATCCCAAGGACCCGATAACTGCAGCCCTCAAGGTCACAAAGTCCCGCAAGAGAAGACGACGTCCTGGACGCGTGGAAAGAAACGTGTTTCTCTGTTATATTATTGGCGCATCAGGGGCTGGCAAATCTTCCTTCCTCGACGCATTCCTCAATCGTCCATTCGACGAACTATACCACCCTACCATCAAACCAAGGCGAGCTGTCAATAGTGTTGAGCTTCCCGGTGGCAAACAGGTGTATTTGATATTTGAAGAGCTTGGCGAGTTGGAACCGGCCATTTTGGAGAATCAAGCCAAATTGGACGCTTGCGACCTCTTGTGCTACGCCTATGACTCGTCCGATCCAGATTCGTTCTCTCATATTGTGGACACTCGAAAGAAGTACCCACAGTTGGATGACTTGCCATCCGTTTATACTGCTTTAAAGGCAGACAAGGATAAGACGACTCAACGATGCGAGCTCCAGCCAGACCAGTACACTTCATCTCTCAATATGAACACCCCCTTGCACGTCAGCGTGACTTGGAATAGTATTAGCGAACTCTTCGTTGCTCTTGCAGAGGCAGCCGCCAACCCAAGTACCGGCTTCCCCAAGAGCGAAGAGGAGGCCCCCGATCGAACGAGTCTCTATCTTGCTTTGGGCGCAACAGCATGCGCTGTGGCTGCTGCTATGATGATTTGGCGACGGTCTACCAATGCTGTGTGAGTTGTCGCCGACTTGGCCAACGCATACACCCCTCTGAGTACTCTCTGATATACAACTACTCTTCTTATCCTAATGTAGATTGGGATGCTGATCATAGGGGGTTTTTGGAGGATTCGGGATTTTGATTTCGCAAGGTGGAGTTTCATGCAGCTTGAAACGATTCACAAGAAGAAAGGATATATGATACCCAGTTACACTGCCATAATACTTCCATAGTTTTTTTAACGATTCATCACTAGTTTGAACAACGTCTCATTTGTAATACATTTCCTCATATTCACTCGTGTATGGCAGGATGAAAATTCTATAAAAAAAAAACTGTACTTTGAAATAATTCATGCAAAAAAAATGCGCCTTACCACCACCCTCAATACCGTCATGTCCTGGGTTGAAGCCGTTAACTATTAGACTTTGTAGAAGCAGAATCCAACGTAGAAGCTTGCCGCTTCCATCTCCTCGTCCGAGATGAGCAGCTTGCCTGCCCCCTCTCACGCACACCCATCCTCTCGCTAAGGGGGCCCAAATCCCGATCATCCTTTTCCGCCTCCCAAATTTCAGGGAAGGTTTTGTGAAACTGCAACTCGAGGTTGAAGTCCTCGGCAAGCGCACGGAAGGCTTCCCAGGGGACGACATACTCGGGAACCTCCTCAACGGCCTCGTCGAGGAAGAAGTTATACTTCCACCCAAAGGCAGGTCTAAAAACACCATCGTCGGGGGTCTTTCCCGGGAAGCGTACGCGGTAGATGGAGTTGCCCCATTCGGCGGTTTGTTCGGCCTCGCCCTCTTCAAGCTCACCCTCCTCCGGCTCTGCAGGTGGCGGCGTAGTTGATGCCTCGCCTTCTTCACCCTCTTCCTCCTTCTTCTTAGCCTCCTCCTCACGCTTGGCAGCAAGCTTTTCGTTGAATTTGCGCACGTGCTCGCCTAAAACATCTGAGTTGGGGATGCAGCCAATGAAGCGACCACCTTTCTTCAGTGCGCCAGCGACATTGCGAAGCATAATTCGAGCATTCTTTTCGGATTCGAAGGCGTAGTGCATGGAGAACATCATGCTAACGACGTCGAAGCCTCGACGATTCATAGTAGAAGGATCAAAGCCGACCTGGTGGATGATTTCCACGTCTTCAATGGTCTCGGCGTAGCAGTCCTTGACGTGAAAACGAGCATCAAACAGGCGTGGTTGAGGGCGGCTGTTGCGTCCCCCGCGGCCACCCCTCCCACCTCGAGAGCTCAAAGTCCTGTAACGATCTCTGGCTTGCTCGATGCTGACATTAGCTGGGTCGAGACCAACGTAGAGTTGAATGGGCTGTGGTGCCTGCTGCCATTTGTTCAAATCGCCGCCCTTGCCACATCCAACATCGAGAACGAGAAGTTCTCTGCCACTGGAGCGCCCTTGCTCTCGCGATCCCGGCGTATGATCTTCGTCGGGCGAGTATCGCTGGATAATGCAGCTCTTGATCCAGTTGTTAAACACACGCAGGCCCTTGATTTTGCTGTCGCGGGTACGCCAGTCGCGGCCTCGTTCGGGGACGCTGTTGTAATGCTCTCTAACAACGTCATGAGTGCCTCTTGCCTTTGTTTCTTCCGCCGCCTGCGCTGCTGCCATCTCTGCAGCCTGGCGATCACGCTCGAGTTGGCGCAGTCGGATAGCCTCCCTTTCGGACTCGGAGATACGGGCTCTGGCTCCAGGACGTTTCTGCCTTCTGGGCTGATCGGAGGGGGATATGGCGCGTCGCTTGGCAGGTTGGAGCGAGTTTGCGTTGTAGGGTTGAGGCAGATCATCCTGCACATCATCTTCAGCACGGCGCTTATTATGCCTTCTGGAGGAATGATCGGCCCCCGAGTCGCGATAGCCTCCCATTGCAAGAGATTTCTATTTTCCAGGTATGATTTTGCGGACGATTGGGTTGATTCGGTGTTAGAAATTGGGGGGTTAGTGGTGAAAATTGGATGATGGAATGCGTTGTGTTATGGAGAAGCAGAGAATAAGATTTTGGGTTTCGGCTGAAGCGAAAGGCGCGAGCTGGTTCACTTGGTAGCTCTAGTAATTGAAAACTGACTACACACCAAGTACGGAGAATGGAGTGCGCTGCTTACAATGTTAAAACAACTGCAATGACAATAAGTTGTTTCAAGTCAAAGAATAAAATGAATAATACTTGATATTAAAGAGGTTCCCAATCAAATGTTTCGGTAAATGTTCAGTCATCCTACAGCCTTAAAATGCACTCGATAGCATTAATGTGCCTGGGGCTTTGAGAAGCACTCCCAAGGTAACTTCAATATGCAAAAAAAGAAACCAGTAAAACCGGCGATTCATAAAAAAATGGACAGACGGGGAATTGAACCCCGGACCTCTCCCAAGCTCATCCAACTCATTCATTTGATTGAAAGATGCTAAGGGAAAATCATACCACTAGACCACCCGCCCAGATTGACTCGTGGCCCAAGATGGGCAGAACCAGCTTACAGGGTAGCCCCTCCATGGTCCTGTCACTTGGTTTTGGTGGTGCGTGTCCTGCTGAAGCCTTGCGCCCGGGCCAACACCAGTGCTGCCCGCCGATAGCAGGTCCAATCCAATCCAGCTGCAGCAGCGCCTTGTCTCGTTCGTTGACCTGGAGCTCCAAGCCAGAGTACCATCTCGTCATACAACCTCCCACCATCTTAAATCTCAACCATAATCACAATCACAACCGCAACCACAAACCCCAGGCAGCCCGAATCCCGATCTCGCGCAAATAGAACCGTCGCCGCCATGGGTGCAGAACCTCAATACGTCAAGTGGCCCTTGCTGCCGCTCTCCCAGCATGTCTTCACTCTCACAAATGCCTACGCCACAAGACAGCAACAGCAGGCCGCTGTCAAGGCACTACAAGATGCCATCACCAAGGACAAGATGGCGCCCTTCTACCGATATCTGGCACACCCCATCGACGGTATCCTAAATGCGGTTGGAGAGGGAGGTTCATCAGCACCGGGCAGACCTTTGAGTAGGAAATCAAGCTTAGTTGGCATGGTCGCTACCAAGGCGCCTGCTACAACCATCAGCCTGCCCTGGGATGAGGAGCTGTACACAAAGTTGAAGGAGGAGAATGACCAGGAACTGGCCGAGTTCCAGAAGGAAGAGGATGAGGCGGAGGAGCAGGCTGGCGACACAGAGGTCATGGCTGCCAAGGGAAAGCGAGCAGACTTCTGGGCGCGAGTGGCCGACAAGGTGAGAACCACTGGAGGAGGCAACCGATTCAATTATCGCGAAAAAAAAACAATAGCTAACCCCGATTTCTTATAGGATAAAGCAGTTGCCGAGTACGAAGGCTTGCTCGAGAAGACCGGTATCCTAGGCAATAAGATCGACCTGACTCTGGCTATAATACGTATGGGGCTCTTCTACGGCGACAAGCCTCTGGTTCAGAAGCATGTCGAGCGAGCCAAGGCCCTCGTCGAAACTGGTGGTGACTGGGACCGCCGAAACAGACTCAAGGCCTATGAAGGTCTCTACCTCCTAACGGTCCGTTCCTACAGCGCATCTGCTCCCCTCCTGCTCGACTCTCTCTCCACATTCACCAGCTACGAACTCTGCACCTACTCCAATCTCGTTGTCTATTCCGTCCTGGCCGGTTCTGTCTCCCTCAAGCGTGTCGATTTCAAGTCCAAGGTGGTCGATGCTCCCGAGATCAAGGCCATCATGGGCGATGGCGAGGATAAGCTGTTGGCTCTCAGCGGCGCTCTGAGTGCAGGCCCCGGCGCTAATGACACCGTGGATAAGATCCCCAAGGCGGCAGCGACAACGGCGGTCAACCTGACAACTCTGGGCGCTAGCAGCGATCAGCCCGAGGCCGAGATGGCCATTGACTTTAGCCCGCTGGCTCTCCTGGTGAGCAGCTTGTACAACGGCAACTACAAGACTTTCTTCCAGTCTTTGGCCTCCGTTGAGGAACAGTTCCTCAACCACGACCGCTATCTTCACGAGCACAAGAGCTGGTTTATTCGTGAGATGAGACTCCGTGCCTACCAGCAGCTGCTACAGAGCTACAGAGTCGTCGGCCTGGAGAGCATGGCCAACGACTTTGGTGTTACTGTCGACTTCCTCGATCGGTAAGTGCCCCAGTAACATGTCCTATGCAAACAAACAACTGACCTGTTTATCTCTAGTGATTTGGCTAGATTCATCGCCGCTGGCCGCATTCCCTGCACCATCGACCGTGTCTCTGGCAAGGGCGTCATTGAGACCAACCGACCGGATGACAAGAACAAGCAGTACCAGGACGTTGTTCGTCAGGGCGATCAGCTTATTACAAAGCTGCAGAAGTATGGCCAGGCCGTCAGACTAAGGGGTAGCGAGAGAGCGTAAAGTAAAGTAGGGAGGTGTAGACAAAATGCTAGTTGCTTTTTTTATAATTTAAAAGCTGAAGAAACTTTTGCTTCATGTGTCGTTACGTGCTGTATGATATGTTTTAGATGAAACGTCAAATACCAATTCATGGGCGGAGAGGACGCTGCACATCCATCATGTGCATGTTGCTAACATGCAATCAATGGCTGCTGAATTGTGGGAGTGGCATGAACAATTAGCCCTCCCCAGTTGTATTTGTCTATGAACAATGAAGTAGATCACCATGAACATTATCCATCAAGTTCATTTGAGAAAAAACTCTAATAAAAAACACAACTCCACAATGACTTTTTCTCATCCCCCCGGTCACTGAAAGACTTTTTTCTCTTTTTTTTTTACCTGTACTTGTCCATGAACTCCTTGTGGAACTTGGTGATGCTGCCGACCCACTCCGTACCGGGCGCCAAAAAGGTAGTGCGCAAATGCAGAGTACCCTCCTTTTGTCCGAATCCGCTGCCGGGAATGACGCAGACGCCGGTGGCCTCGAGGAGGCGCATGCAGTAAAACTCGTCCGGGGTGCGGCCCTCTGCGGCGGCGGCCTCGGCGGCCTTGGGGGAGAGGGTGATGGTGGGGAAGAGGTACATGGCGCCCTGGGGCTCGGCGCACTCGACGCCCTCCATCTCGCCAAAGGCCTTGTGCAGGGCGAAGGCTCGCTCGCGGAGGCCGTTGGCGATGGTGTTGTACTCCTTGTTGTAGAGCTCGTACGAGGGCTGGCCGGGCTTGGGTGGGTTCACCATGAGCTCGACGAGACACTGGCCGATGACGGGGGCGCAGAGCATGATGGAGACGAACTTGTAGATATTGGCCTCGACCTCGGAGTCGAAGTTGACAAGCTCAAAGTAACCGCCGCGGTGGCCGCACTCGCCGACCATGCCCTTGGAGATGCTGTGCAGAGAAGCAAGCTCGAGTTCGTCGTACTTGCCGGGGTGCTCTTGCTGCAACTTGCGCAGGACACCCTTGAAGCTGTGGAACTGGCCGACGAAGACGTTGGTCTGGTAGACTTCATCGGCCATGACGACGAGCTTCTCCTGGTTGGCAAAGTCAAGCACGGCGCGGACGTCCTCCTCAGAAAGGGAGGCACCGGTGGGGTTGCCGGGGTTGATGATGACGATGCATCGCACATCGATGCCCTCGGACTTGGCCTTTTCGTAAGAGGCACGGATGGTCTCGAGGTCAGTCCCCCAGTTCTTGGATTCGTCGAGGTGGTAGGGGACGCAGGTGGCGTCGAGGACGGAGAGGGTGGCAGTGTAAAGGGGGTATTGGGGGATGGGGACGAGGACGCCGCTCGTTTTGGACCCGCAGATGACATGGAGGAGGGTGTTGACGCCGGAAGAGGCACCGGCGGAGAGGTAGATGTGTGCGGGATCGGCAGGGAAGCCGTCACGCTCTATCGTCGAGAGTTGTTTGTCAGTCAACCGGTCTTCAGGGGGTTAGAGATATATACAAGTCAAAGAGAAGACTCACCCTCAATGAACCTGGCAACACTGTCCTTGAGGGCAGGAACACCACTGCTAGCGCTGTAAGCTCCGACAGAGCCACACTGCTGGAGCAACCACTTTGCGCGCTCAATGACATCCGACTTGTATCCCAGACCATTGATCAAGACATCCTCCTTCTCGAGAAGCTCGGGGTTCTCGAGCAGACTGCACACCTGCCGGAAGAAGGTAATGGGCTTCTGGTCAAGCTGCTGCGGGTTGCCAATGTTGGCGGAGATGACCTGGTCAAAGGGCAAGCTCTTGTCGCCCTTGCCTAGACGGGCACGGAACTCCTCCGACTTGACGGCGAGCTCACCACGCACGGCATACTCGGCAGAGCGAACATGCTGGTTGATCTTGTCGACTGTGAGCCGTCCCATGGTTGAGTACTGTCGTCGAGGAATAAGACGGTATTGCTGGTGGTGGGGATGTCGCAAAGTCGATGGCGGGGCAGAGGATGGGAATGACTGTCTCCGAGGACCGGCACTGTCTGCGTCTTTTGTGTAAGTTTTTATAGAGCTCTAATAAAGGACCTCCGTCTGTCTATAGCAAAAAAAGCTAAGGAAAGCAAAATGAAGATAAGTAAAAGAAGCAAGATAAGCAACGGTGAGAGAAAAAGGGAAGAAGGAAAAAAGAACTGGCGTGTGGTTGAAGAGTCCGATAGATATGGACGTGTGATATTGGGAGCCCAAGGGAAAGAGAGAGAAAAGGGCGTGCAAGGTCATTCCTGGCAGCAAGGATATCGACGGATCTGCAAAGTGCACACCCACTCACCCACCCACACAAACCAACGTGGGGTGACTCAAAGCCATTGAAGCGTCGGAAGTGGGGTGGGATCAAAGAGAGAGAGAGAGAGAGACAGAAAAGGCCATAATAGAGCTTCACCACACATGGTCGCCCAACGTGTTTGTTCCCATGGCATGACAATTGTTAATTGTCAGCGCATCGCGCGGTCCACGTTGGCTGACACCTTCGCAAATCATTGTCCTTACAAAAAAGGCGTAGTGGATCTGACGTAGGTCTCGGGAACCTGGATAAGTGCGGCACTGTTTGCTTGCTTGTCTAGGCCTTCAGATCGTTTCCGAGCCCGAAGCCGGATCTAGTCGTCGTCCATCAAGCTTCCTTCATGACCGAGTTGAACTCTCTCCATCTCACTCAATCCAACCCAGTTAAACCATATCTGACATTATGACGATGGCGACGACGACGATGATGGGAGGCTCAAAAGTGCAAAAAAACAAGTTACTTAAAAGAGAGGTGTAAACACCAACCTGTAATTCGTGATGCGCATAGCAATGCTCGACCGTTGGCCACACCCAGCAGCGCCTTGTTCGCCGTAGCCAGTGCAGTCGCCATGATGTGCTGCCAGTGCTTCGGTTTGCCCCAGAGACCCTGCGAGAGGAAGACTCTCAACTGCTCGTCAGAACAGATTACCGCTAATCGCGGGAAATATCTCCGTTGGAGTTTTGCAAGTAGAAAAAAGAAAAAAACAAAGATACTTGAAGTAAAAGAGAAAAATAAAAAAATAAAAGAGCGGCAGAGCTTTGGGGGTCATAGCATGCA